AGATGTAAAATCTCGCAGTATATCTCAATTTTTTAATGCGGAACGATTTGGGCTATTGGTGTGTAGCCGGATCATCAAGTTATTCTCAGGAAATTCTAGTCCATCACGTGATGCATGCAACCCTCCACTTTGACCGAAGCATAGCCAAGCTGCTATTCTTGCATTTGACCAAGCTCTTCTGGAGTTTGAATATTCCTAGGTCGACTTTTGAACTTCCGTTTATTTTCGCACTACTTGTACCCGTCTGTGTATGTCGTGTTGCGACACGCTTGCGCACCAAGTCGTTTATCTTTGAGGTCGCATGAAGTTGGAAGCTTGCGAGAAACGAGATCAGTTCAACCACGATCAAGCAAACGGGGAAGACCTACCAAAAGTTCACTAAGCTATCCGACGCGAAAATTTCTAGGTAGCTTCTGAGCCGCAGTTATCGCACAATGTTTCATGTCCAGAGTAACCCGGTCCTGTCATTCTACCCACTCACCGTGCCGTAGGTGCATGGAACCTCATCCACGACTATATATGTGTCACAGTCGCTGCGCGCGACAGCTCACGTATTTTGCACTGTATATTTAGTTCGCACTTCATATGTTTGTGTCGTGTGGATGTCGTTTCCTTTCATTTATTTGGGTCAATGTCCTCGTACTCAAGAGCTGATGTTCATTCGTGTACACCGTGCGTCTGACGCTCAGTCTCAATCTTGTTTGCGTTTAAGATATGTAAGTTTCTTTCCATTAGTAGCAACACGCGGTGTTCTCACTATTACCTCTACGTCTCCCCTGTGACGACATTTATCGTTGTGATGGCCTGATTTTTTTACTGTGTCATTTAACTTTTTATTAATTCGGGTTTCTGCTTCAAACTTTTGCTGATAACACTATGTTGTCCTGTGATTAGCACCTCTGATGCTCATACTTCATCGCTGATGTGCTGCTGTTTTGCAACCTAGAGTGCGTCGGCACGAGTACTTAGTGTCGTGCCGTTTGGTTTGCTACCTGTTCCTTACATCGCTTACTATCAGAGTTGTATCGTTGCATGTAGCATTTATTTACCATGAACATCAGTTCATCGTGTTGCTCATTTCTGGTATTCCCTGTTCTGCCTACATCGCATAGTGCCAAATTACCGCGACTAATAGTATTTATATTTTTAATATCAGCACTATTGGAGCAAAGGTCTCCCTTCGAATTGCTAAATCCCGGTCATTGTTTGCCAACTTAAAACATTTGTGGCGCCGTCGCGACATTTCACTCTCGCTAAAAGACAGGGTTTACAAAGCCTGTGTACGCACGACATTGCTGTACGGATGCGAATCATGGGTGATCCATGTGGAAGACATGCGTAGTCTTTCGGCCTTCGACAGTAGCTCTTTGCGGAGGATTGCCTGCTTGTGTTGGCAACACCGAGTGCGCAGTGATGACGTTAGACACCGCGTCTTGGGTAAGACGGATGTTTCGCTTCATGATATCGTCTGACTGCGTCAGTTGAGATGGTTTGGCCACGTCATGCGCATGCCTAACGAGCGTTTACCACGTCGCGCCCTGTTTGTGCACGCAGGGTTACTTTGGAAAAGGCTGCGTGGAGGTCAATCGCCCATCTGGCGACAATGCATGAAGTGGACGACACCTTGCTTGGCCATCGCTTGCCCCGTACGACTCCCTGGCTGGGGACCCAAAGATGAAGAATGCCAATGGCTCAAAATGCTGGAAGCAATGTCGCAAAACTGGTCACAGTGGAAACACTACGTACAAGTCTGCCTGATCTCATGTTTCCAAAAGCTCTAACTTAAAAACCGCCAAACGATACAAAATTGCTTGCGTAAACCCACAAAAAATTGCTGTTCCCTTTTTTCATTCATTATCATTTTCTTTTACATCTTTCGCACCTTTTATTATTCTATATTCCAATTTCCATGGTTTTGAATGACTCGATGTCTGTTTTATAGATTATTGCCACCATATATATATATATGTATATATATACTGTCAGACCGCGTTTTCTGAGAGTGACTTGCGATACAATCCTTACAGGTCGTTTGTCTACTTGTTTATACAGGTCAGTTTACTTCAAATGGAAGCCCCTAATGACGTCCGATATGCCATCGGATAAACGAGTGGATTTGATGGCGGTCGGTCTTTGGGAAAGATTGCGCTACTTTTGGTGCCACCATCGATCCAAACGGAATGCGTCATCGAATACACCAATCCCTCTGTCTCACAGGACAAACAAATATCCCTTCCTCGACTTATCTGTCATTCTGAACCGTTTACCTTGACCCTAAGATCTTTCTGATACGCACCGTTCTTGTGATTTTAAATCTGACTTTACTGTACACACATTGTTCTCAACCCTGTCTTTCGCTATTTCACAGATTTTTCTTCCAACGAGTCTTCTGGACTCCCATGTAACACCACATTTTACCAGACCATTGTATATTTCCTTCCAGCTCACTGTTTCGTGCATCCAAACGTCTACTTTACGCTTTGAGTACTAGACGTTTGTGCATGTTGACCACAGATTATGACTTTACTACTAATTGTCTGATAGTACACCAGCACCAATTGGATTCACAGTGGTCACCGTTTTGGATCAATCACACGTGTGCACACCGTCGTGGGATAATGGGTTGTCTTTACTTTGATCAGTTTGCTGGCTACTATAAGTGGCTCAGCCATCCTGTGGTGCATATCCTTCGCCGGTGTTCGGGAGTAGACGTCCCGTTGCAAATAACCTACTTGTACTTTCTCGGACGTTCGCAGAAGTCCTCTAACCTCTGGGTTCTTGTATGAGTTGTGCCGCTTTTTTACAATTCTATCCGTTCCAGCTCTTTGTGCCGCTTGTTTATAGGGTTCAATGAAATTGTGACTTGTGCTACATCTATCCCACTAGACGAGAGGCAAACAGATTCGATTGTCGACCGCACGTACATCTCCCTGCTTGTTTGCCCTGCTTGATCTGTTGTTGATTTTATGATCTACCACCTACTCTTCAGAATCGCTTTTGTAACGGCTGACTGCAACGGTCGTTTGCAGCTTTCACCTTTATTCTCTCACTTCAACTTGCCACATGCCGGTTTCATTTGATGCAGTAAAATATGTCGTTCGTGACATAGAGGCCGCTTACCCTACTGTTATCCGTTGCTAACCTTTCACTGGAATACTAATCTCGTCATAAAAAACAATAGCTCTTCAACTGCGGAAACTAACCACAGTCCACTGGTCATTCATCCGATTGCCACATTCCTTAAATCCATTTAACACTTGCTCGATATACATTGATCCTAGCCTGTGGTACAGATATTGTGCTATCGGAATCATGGCTAGATAGAAAAACAGTAAGAGGAGACACTATTTTTTATCTAGTTTCCCACACACTTTTTGAGTTTTTGATAGTTTGTTTTATTAGGGGAGAGAAGGGGGCTCACCGCAACGCACCACTGACATCGCTTTAGAGCCATGACTTTCAGGGTCTTCAACCAGCGACACTCTGGGACCCCAGCAATGGAACCAAAAACAATCGACCAAAGCCAACTGTTTCGTCAGCTTTTTCATGCCGCTTCCTCAAGTTGTGAGCTGTCCACCACGCCACTTCTCCAACACTGTTCACACTGGCACGATACCCGAACATCTTTCTACTGCTGTACTCAGCTTTGTTCTCACTTTCGATATGTGGTCGCAACCTCATGCAAATCAATTGATGCTCTGCTCTCCACAGCAAAATTGAGGGAAAGCTTCTTGAGGAACAAGCGAAGCGAACCTTATATTAATCATAAATCGAATAAAGCATCAATAATAACTTCAAAGCAATGCGTTTGGCATCGCGTTCATGGTCCTATCAGAAGCATGCATTTTCGCATCTGCGTGCACGCTTGTTTTGCTCGTGGCTTCACTTTCACATGCACACCATATCTCTTTGCCCATGCATCGTTGCTGATTATGAAACTAGTGTCACAATATCGTATTGCTGTTTGAGTTAATAGGTTGTCTCTTGGGATGTCACTATCGTTTTAAGTCCTTTGTTTTTGCGTTTGATCTGTATATCAAGAGCTGTGAACATCAGTACATCAAACCACCAACCACAACAGCCTCCGCATCATGCCATCCGATGGCGTAGGTCGTGTAGCAGTGAAACAGCAAGTTCGACCTGGCCACGGATACCTAAGCAATAGGGTTATTGCCCTGTTGTGAGTTCGTGACCTTCGGGTGAAGTACTGAGCACATAGCGAAGCAACAGTTGGCAGCTCACAATTAATAGTACGATGGTGTCACACTATACAACTGTGGATCTTCCTAACCGTAAGGCTGGACCTGAGTGCGGTTTGCGTTTCTCGAATGTTCATTGGGCTGTACTTCGGGGGTTCTTTTTTGCACTATGGTTGCCGATATAAGACGATCTTTGGCTGTTCACCTCAGGCAGATAAAACATCAAAAAGTCAAGCAACACGTTGGCCTTTTGGGTTGAGCATTCATGCGGTTTCACCCGAATGTTCGACATCTCTATTGATGTCATTACGCCTGGTTGAAGCAAGATTCTGCTGCACACAAAATTCTGCAACAGAGAGCGCTAAAATATGTAAAGGTCTTGTTACATCTCCCTCATCAACTTGGAATGAAATTCCTAGGGGTCTACGATAGACAGTATTGGCGCCCGCATAGGGATATTCTATACTTAAGTATCAGATTCTGATGATTCCCAACCATCATGTCATCACCGGAAATGGAACCAAACTGTATGGTCATTATCTAAAACTAACCCCACAGGATAGCCGGTTGGGATACCGCCGAAATTTCTTCACTTGTACCAAACTTGGAACACCCTTCTTGTCTACGTTATTTCTTCACCCACATTACCGCTATTCAAAGAAGATTTTAATGACACACATACGTTACGCTGGATATTGTTTTCGATTGGGTATCAGCGTAAAAAACAAGCTAGGTGCCCATTTTAACTTGCGTATGAGTCCGCTATTACCTTATTTCCTTACCGACTCTTTGTTTTCCGAATCATCCACTCTTTCATCCCACGGGAAATCTCAAACATCCGCCGTTAATCCGTGATAAGCCATTGTTCCCATTAGTACCTTCGAAGCCACTCGCCCCGAATTGGTCAGGTGTTTAGGCGGCCAGACAAACTTTCCCGGTCCGCTAGGTTGGGGCTAGAATGAGGGCAGTAGCTCTATTGCTTAAGAGGACCTCTCGTAGCTCATTACCTTTCAGGCAGTTTTTTAAACTAAAGCTTATTTTTGGATCCTAGTCGTTCTCCCGTCTAGGCCTGTAGAAACTAACAATATCCTGCTTTTGCAAAACAATGGAAATTTATTCGAAGCTTTCCTTGGTGCTCTGGTCACCACAAGACACTCAACGGTACTTTATTTGCTGCATCGTGCGTAGTGCTTATCTAACTACTACCCAGGACTTCCTGTATTATTTTCCTTTTCACGCCTTTATATCAAGTTCATCAATTATGCCCATCCTGATAATAGAAGCATAACAATTGCTAAGCGAACTCTTTCCGGCAACTCACTTCACGCGCAGAACCTGTGCTACAAGCCACAATTTTCAAAAATTATCACCAGTTGTGCTCTCTCTACCAGACAATGGGTGGCGTTGGGTACTGATGGATAGGTCCGACTACCTGGAGATTATGTATACCATTTTTCGTGATACGACCAAATCCAGGCTTGGTCCGATACAGCACAAAACAAAACCAAATCCATCAAATCACTGAAGGAGGTAAAGAGTAGTAACTAGATTGTCGTCTGCACGCTCGAGAAGCTACCCCCGTACGGCTCGCCTCCATCTCGCCCGTTCGGATTACCAAAATTGCATAAACCCATCATATCACTGCGCCCGATCATCAACATGTCTGGCTCCTCCGTGAACTCAGTTGCTAAATGGCTTGCAGGATTTTTGAGCAACTGCGCAAAAAATTGTCAGTCGATAATGTGCGTGATTCATTCGAATTTGTTGGCAATTTGGAAGACCAGTGTGAAAGACAAAGCGATGCTCTCCAACGTAGAATCGCTTTTCACGCTTGTTCCCTTTATTGAAACCGAACTTTTTTGCGAATATACAGCTGCTAACAATACTTCTGTTTGAATCCCTGAGCAAAAGATAAAAGAGTTAATCCTACGCTGTACCTTTGACAAGCAGTTCTTATTCGACGACACACAAATGGATGGAGTCTCCGTTAGGGCCGCTTCTTGCCGATTTCTTCCCCGCCAGATTTGAGTACAGCCCTCTCCAGCACCATATCCATTCTCCTCGTTTTTATCGCCGGTAGCTGGATGACATGTTCATCATGTGGGACTTATAGGACGGAACTCAGGTACTGGTTACGTCGAGAACCGGTAGGAACGACTACGAATACCGACATGTATTGTAAAAAACTGCAATGAACTGGAAGTAGATTAGCAATATCACGGAGCGAGGCAGCGTAGGACTCAGCAAATTCGCACTTAAACGTGTTGTGCGATCAGTAAAACAAATGGACGGCCGGAAGATACAAACAACGACAACATTCCTGTCACGTAATACTGCAAGCGTAGATGCTTCATGTTCACTACAGACTCCCGTTTCGATCACGTTCACATACTGGACTAGTGTAACCACCCCCAACCACTTTCGAGCTAGAGAAGTACAGTGTTTCGTTGCGAAGTCGAGTCCATAGCTCACCTGAGAGATGAATCTTGCGTAGGACAACCTGGATGGTCCAGTACACGCACTTTCTTAGTTTTGTACCCATATAGTACAAGGAAAACCTCGTGTTGTCTGTACTATCAAACCGCAAGAATTTGCAGTCCAGAAACGCTAGAGACTGATGGGAATTTGATTCACAAAGCGCTGCATATCACAATAGGTATCCCGCTGCGTTTATCAAAAAACATTTCCCTGTTTCTGACCAACTTAATGCGATACCAACTGTAGGAAAGTAGCTTTATTCTCAGTTCCTTTTAATAGAGATCTCGCTTTTGACTTACTGTATAGAAGACGACCGCTGTCAGTGAACCAAATATATCCGGCCGTTAAGTTCATATCCCTGCTGAAACCCTTCCGCTCATCACCCAACGCCTCGAAGATGGAATCCCAGCTCGTCCTGAATCCTTTGTTATATGCCACTTCACCGGCACCCGTGTTGCCATGTACTTCAGGCACATTATTAGGCGGATAGGGAAGGGATACCTTGCGTCTTTGCAACCCTGTATGGTTAACAATGTCCGCTGCTCCATCCTCGAACATCTGCTTAGTACGGGTCATCAGGTTCGTCCTAATGACACCTTCGAAGTCTACACCTTACCGGGTCACAATCCCAGAGGAATCAGAAAGTGCTTCTTGGCCACCGCTGAGGTCATTGCAATAAGACCACTTCAGTCAGAGTTGTGCAAGCAGAGAAAACCGATACAAGTCGTCATTTTGCTGTGGCCATAATGTCGGTTGTGACTACGACCGAAATAGCTATTGTAGACCTACCGGCCAACGCGCCTGTGTTTTGTGCTAGTGCATCTTCGCGTGCGCTTCATTACTCCCATACTTTCCAGCTAGCAGCGAGCCCAAATATACTCCTCGTTTTTATTACTCCACCTCAGGTTTATGCATCATCACCTTCACTGCAGAAGCTGTGTTAAAGAAGTTGTTACCCCTGCGCATCCACAGTTCTCCTGGAGTCGATAACATCCAACCGAAGGCTCTGCAAGCAGTAGCTAGTGATCTAGAAATACCACTGGCCGCTTTCTATCAGCGATATCTAGAGAAGCGAATTCCGCCAGTATATAAGCGAGGATCAT